GAATAGCCAATGAATATCTAACAAAACTATAATATAATAGTAAGCATTGTACAGTATATACTATATTATATATACCGTACTATACTATAGTATTGTATATAAGATTTAAATAACTACTTAATTGTGTTTATTATGAAAAGTATGAAATCGATTGATGACACAAATGATTAGCTATCGATCATACCGTCCAAATCATATGATATAATCGCAATACCAGTGCTGCGGACCATTAAATGGCTTATTATGTCTTTGAATTTACCAATAATGTACAGTAAATGAAAAATAATATACAATGCATATAAATTATTCATTACTTATTCTGTATAAATTTATTCATATTAGTTAAAAAATAAAAATAGTTAATTATTGTTAATTTTTTTATATGATCTATGTAAACAATTGAAAACTCTTACAATTAATATATATTATAGAAAAACAAATCCAATTAGTAATTAGTAAAACAACAAAAATATTTAAATATTATGCAATTAAGTATTATAGCAAAGAAATGTACAATTTATGTAATCAAACAAATAGTTTAAGAAATAAAAAGATCTAAAAATAAATGCAGAAATATAAATATAAATAAATAAATAGACATTAAATATTTAGACAACTTTTAGAATTAATTAAGATTTAGACCCATTAATAATAGGCTATTTTAGCAGATAAACAAATAATACTAAAATGCAAAACTAATTTATTGATTATTTCATGAAACTGTATACATATATATACTGACATATCATACAATCATTTATTGATAAACACATTTTGAAACAAATATAACTCTAACAATTAGAGTACAGTATATCACAGAAAACAATAACTTATTTGAGTTTTTTATTTTTCATTTCAATAGCAATATTGTATAACTAATAAATTAAACAATGAGATTAGTTTTGTTAGTTATTTTATAATAATTTATTTTTTAAAAACCTGGTATTTTATAATTAAGTTTTAATATTATTAATACATAAATATTGAATAAAGATTAATACGTATAATTAATACAAAAAAATTATAAGTTATGAATATATTGCACACAATATAATAATTTAGACTAATTTAAAGTTTAATTATTTAGATATAGAATTATTAAACTATTGTTAGAATTTATAAATAATATTTTTTTCAGTGACTTCACAATAATTATTATTACTGTACTATTTTGCAAGTTTTGATTAGCGCTGCATATGTGGCACTTTTAGATGTATTTTTTAAAAAGTTTCCAATAATGAACGGGAATTTAATGAATTGAGAGATAATATTATGTAAGGGATGGCAATGTTTTCCTATTATTTGATAATAGACTTATTAATTCAGTGCCAGCACTTAGTTGCGCTCCATTTCCCATTGCTTTACAAGTTATTTACTTCACTAAATTAATGTCACATTAAAATCTTTAGTAAATCTTTTATATCTATGAAACTATTATTATTATTATTATGTTTGATACAAATTGTATTGTTTTGTAAATGTTTAGTCAAAGTGAAATCAGTTGTCCATTTGATAGCAATAAACAACAGTAAAAATAATAATAATTGCAATAATGCATTCAAACATAACAAACATGTCTAACTATAACTACTATTATATAATCTGTAAACTTATGATAAAATGTTGGATAGCATTGAATTATAATTCTTAAAATAAAAAATAAAATAAATATTTACATTAAAATGTTTTTATATTAATGATGCAAATAAATAAATTGTATATGAATGCAACTTTTAAATAACAATGTAATGTATCATATTATTAAGTAAATAATAAGAGTCCAGATAACAAACAATGATAGTATAACAAAATTTTGTTTTATTTGTTAAATTATTATTATTATTATTTTAAATATTAATATCTGGTTACCAAAAGATTTTTTCATATAACTATTATGTACAAAATAAAATATTTATGTTTCCAAACAGTATTATATTATTATCTAAATATAATATAACATCATATCTTACTATTGTGTATATGAGTTATGATCTAAAACTCTAATCTTTAATAGTCAGTACTTACGGTTTGATTGACTCTATTATCAATGTCTGTATATAAGGTATAATAATATGAAAGCACTGTTAGACTCATTTTCTGATGTATTTTTATCCCATTAATCCCTATGAGCTATAAGAGAGAGAGAGAGAGAGAGAGAGAGAGAGAGAGAATCTTTGGTTTGTCAGTCAATCCTTTTTTCACAACTAATCTCTATTATTGCCACAAAAATCATGTGCCAATACATTAGATCTAATTCCCAAATGATATAACACTATATTTATTGTAGTTTTAGTCCACAACACTCTGTCTGTATTGTATTTCTCATTAACGAACACATGATATCATTAATTGTTTACTTTTTAAAAGTATAAATCATATAATTAATTGACTTTAAATATCATTAAATTAAAATTAGCTTTTTGTAAGTTTTAAAATTTGAATGCGAAATGTGTATAACGGAAAAATTACGGTATTAAAAATGTTTATGTATTAAAAAATATAAATACATTATTATCATTTTTATTAAAATATTTACTTTATAAAGTATTTGTAAAATAATCAAATTTAATTTATAAACTTGTATTATTTTCAATTAGGTTACCAAAAAAATGAGCTTCATTAATTTTTGCATCTAAAATAAACTATTAAATAAAATGAAAACACGATTATATCATATAAAAATACATTAATTTTTTTATTTTTTAAATTTCATTAATATTAAAAATGTTTTAAATCAATACTTTCGATTTACTATAAAACCCGTATTCCCTAAACAATAGTAGTGTATATACTATACAATATATATATATGGCATCTCTTTTTTGGCACTTAAATACTTTTAATACAACAGTGTACTGTATATGTATATGTATGCACAAATAGCACTGGTATGTTATCTCAATATGTGAATAGTATTGTAGTTAAAACCCAAAAAACAAATTTACTTTTATTTTATATATTATATACAATATATTTGCCTTTTTTTCTTCATCTCTTTCTGTCTTTTATTTTCTACTCTTTTATCTCACAAATGACTGAACAAATGGATAGAAAAGAGGAAGACTTAGCAATGAAATCGAAGTCTTATGTTTGAGCTCTCAATAATGTTGTGTATATTTTTTTTATTTATAAATTACAGGAAAACTTCCCTCAAATAAAACAAAATTCTTACATTAAATATTAATTGATTGCAATTTGATAAATACTAAAATATATTTTAGATTAGATAAAAGATAAAGATATTTTGTAATAATTTTTATTAAAACATTTTGTTATATTATGTGATTCGCAAAAAAACTACAGTAATCTTATATATTTTTTAATAAATCAATTATTTTATTAGATGAAAAATTATTTATCTATTTATTTATTTTTATAAAAACAATATTTGAATATATGAAGTTATGAAAATATTAAATATAAAGTTTGATTAGATTTCTTTATTTAATTTACTTAATTTTATAAATATTAAATTGAAAATATAATTTTGATAATATTTGTTATGTCTTTTTAAACCTTTTAATCACTTAATTTTTGAATGTTTAGATGCGGGCTATTGGGTATGCTTTTGATAATTTTCATTTGAATGCAACTTCTTATATATAAATAGTACACAAGTTAGTTGTGTATTGATTAAAACATAAGACTATGATATGATGAGCACAGGGATCAAAAGTAAAACCATAAACATTCCTCTAATTTATCTACCGTTCCGTTTAAAAAAATTAAATGCTCATAAAAATACATTAATTAGCCATATTTTTAAATTATTTAATTTATATATAAGTATATATAGTTATACTGTATAAAGTTTTTATAGTAAATTTCTTGATAACTTTTTTATACTTTAATTTGCAAAATTTTCTAACAAAAGTTTTAAATCAATCTTTCATTTATTTTATTTGCAATCAAATGTTTGCTATTACTGGCTTTAAATTGCTGTGTTTGTAGATACTGTATATTGCATTATAATATTGTATCTTATAATACAGTATAAGAGAGAGTACAATATAGTTTAGTTTATCAAATAGTATACTAAAATTCAATAAAATAATAATATCGATTCTATACATAAAATAAATTTTAAACAAATATACTTTTAAAAAAAAATCTAATAAGAAGATTATTCTTGAAAACAATTATTAAATATTCTAAATATTAATTAATAATTGATAATATTATAAATATTTTATTATAAGAATAAATTTTGTAATCATATTGTATTAATGTTTTTAATTTTTAAAAACAATTTATTTTACAAAAAAATTTCACAAATAATAATATTTATAAATAATTAATTTAAGTAAATATTTATATATAAGAAAATTTTGTAAACATTTTTTCTTAATATATATATATAATAATAATAATATATAACTTTGTAATTTTATAAAACATTTTTTTGTAATATTTAATTTATTTCTAATACGAATTATGGCTAACATTTTATCTCAAATACTTTAAATATTTTAAAAACTCCTAATAAATTGAAATATTTAATTGTAAAATCTTTTTTTTCAAAATATTGGAGTAAATAAATAAAATTGACACAAACAATAACTGGGCATTTGAATATCATAAAGTTTGTGGACTTTATAATTTTTATTAATATTTTTTTTGTTTTTTATATAAAAATTGCTATTTTTAATTTAAAATTTGTTATGACTAAAAAACTATTGTCACAAAAATAGTAATATTGTTATCATTGCCAGAGACCAGATTATTGAGATTTGATTTTGCACAATATTTTGAGTTGAGTTACCTATAATAACAAATAATTAAACAATATTATTATACAACATCACAATAATATGAATAAAATTAGGTTTTGTAAAAAATAAGTAATATATAATTATTTTTATGTTTATTTAATTAATTAAATACAATAATTTAGTTTAATTTATGTAACAATTTCAATACTGACTACAATAAGGCATTTTAAGCTTCAATGTTGAGTATTTTAACATATCATCGACTGGTGTCCACATAAGATGTATGGGATCGGGAATCCACGTACCGTTCCTACAAACCAGTATTGATGGACCCATTAGCTCATAACCCTCATCGCACGTGTAGTTGACGTGAGAGTTTTCACGTGGTGTTTGCCAACACGTTCTCTCACCAGTTATTACATAACTACCTGTTATTTGATAAAAACATTTGTAATTAAAATGTCATAATATATATTTTTATATTAATGATTAATCATTTTATATTTTAGACATCATTTATATTTTTTAGACATCAAACAAAAATACTGTATATATTAATGTTTACGCAAAGCTAAGCAATTCAATCAAATATAAAATTTAGTCAATTGTAAAAATAATTGATGAATTATATTGCTTGTTTCATAATATTATATTTTTATATTACATATGATTTTGTTTTATAATTTGTACTTAAATTTCATATTTAAAAATATTTTATAACAATCTATTATATTATATTAATTTGTTATTATATTTATAATAAGTTAATTATGAGGTAATAATCCAAATTGTTAACATTTCTAAAAGTAACAATTAAATTGTATATATTTAGTTAATAGTTGAAAATGTGTTATAATTGGTAAAAATGTTATTAAGTATTAATTTAATTATCAGTAATTATATATTATTTGAAATAGACTAACTGCAAAATAAATTGTATCAAAAAAGTCTATGGTATGTAATGCAAAACATGTAATCTATAAATTGAATTAATTATATATAAATTTTTAAAAATTTATTTAATTACGTTTCCTATTTATTACAGAATTTTTTCTATCTTTCTCTCTCTATTTCTCTTTTTGTTTGTGAGTATATATATACATATAATATAGGTATTACATAAAAATCTAATTTAATAAATAATCAAATATAATAATGAACTGTATTTTATAATTTGGCTAATTAATGTCTATCTAATTATGTTTTTATTATTTTAGTTCATTATTAACATATAGCGTATATAACATTATACATACCGGTCATTAGAGTAGATACTTGTTATTATACATAAACATTAATAATATATTTTATTTGCTAATTTATCTCAATAAATTTCTATTAATATGCATTGTATTTTCAACAATATATTTCACTTTTTATTATATAAAATAAATTAATTAATAAGAGTATGTCTGTATGTATTTCTTTAATATAATGTATATCATTTTTTATTAAAATTTATTAAATATATATATATATTTATATTTAAATAATCAAAATATATTAAATACTATTAAAACAATATTAAAACAATATTAAACAATATTAAGTAAAATTTTTAAAAATATATAATTTTATTTAACATTATTTTATTATTTCATTAAATTTTATATTGGATATTATTTAAATTTCAGTGATTTAGTAAACATTTTTTCTAAAAATAAATCTTATTTTCTAAAATAAATACATTATCCTTAAAATACATTGCATTAGTGCTAATGTAAATCAGTAACTGTTTTCATTCATAATAATGTAAAATATCAGTACATTAAAGACAGAAATTCAATTTGAAAATAACTGGTGAATACCCACATAAATCATTGAAACATATATTACATACAATAGGAATACATTTAGGTTTTCAACACTTTAACGTTTTTTTTGGTATTAATTTACTCGTAAATAGCACTCAATTTAAATCTATATAAATAACACACATTTCTATAACACAGATATACACATACATACATCAGTTTAAATACTAGACAAACCTAATTAATCTTAATAAATAAATATAACCAAATGTTAATTATGATAAATTTGGACAAATATACAAATTTAAGTAATAAATATAAATTTGCTGCTAATCTATCAACTTATATAAACACGAAAAATTGAAATATATTTTATTTTCATAGTATGTATTTTGCTTTTTTTAAACAAAAAAAATTGTATACCGTTTTTTATTTTTGGCGGTTCATCGATACAACCCGAGTCGCCAAACAGTTTATAATTGATTCCCATACGCCATGAGGTCATCATAATTAACAAATGGCATTGAAAGGACAGTTGTCCGGCATAGTTGATAAAGTCGGTCACGTGATAGCGCCTCCTAATAGATATTTCGTACGTTCCGTTAGGCAGTTCTCGATTAATATCAAACGTTTCGCCCGCAAAATATTTATCGGTAAAACTGTTGGCATCAACAGGAAAATATCAATTTATTATTGTTGTTAACATTTTATTTTAATATATATTTAATAAATAACTTGAATTAAATAAAATATTTAAGTATATTTTAGGAGTAATAAACTTAGAGTGCATAACATTTTATGACACTTGAAAACAGTTATTTTCAAATAATACATAAAAAATATTACTTATGTCTGAACATGCAATCTGTCTGTACGGAAACACTTTAAATTTTTTTTAATATTTTTGTATTTTGCAATTTTGAATGATCACTGTTTTGATAATTGTATTTTTATGAATGCTTATAATAAAAATAAACGAAAGATTTGTTACGATATTACTCTATTTAATGTAAAGAAAAGCATTTATCCATAAAATAATTTTAAATGTGTGTTAATATATATGTTTTTTAGATGTTATTGCATATGTATTTTTCAACATAAACTTATGTATTATTTATTTATTTAATTTTATACGTCACAAACATTTTATATAACTAAATGCATATTTTATAATATGTATACAAAATATATAAATTTTTAGCCTAATTGAGTTTCATTATAAGTCATTTATATATAAAGAAAACTAATAATTGCATATGACTTTAAAATCTGTATATTATATAATATGATGAATCTGTATAAATTATAATTAATTTTTAATTTATTATTATGTGCTATTTATAACTTTATACTAATGTCAATTTTTTAATTAAAATTATTTTTTAAATATTTTATGTGACAGTAAATATTAGATTAGAATATTATAAAGTATTAGTAAATTATTTTTAAATTCCACTGTTATGTAACAATAATAAGTTTTTAATTAAAATACAATTTAATATTATAAATAATTATTTGTTGATAAAACTATTTCTATCTAAATTACTTTTTATATTATCTTAATTTAATATACTGTATAAAATAAAATAAAATAATTTGATAACAAGATATTTGAATTAAAATAATTACAATTCTAGTATTTATTAATTATATAAAATATTATTAATAATAAAGACAAAAAATTATATTACAAAAAATAAATAAGTAATACTAAAACAATAGAAACACTTACTCGTTATGTATACTACAGGCTGGCGATGGTTTTGGAAACATTCCGATACAATAAAAGCTAATATCTTCGGTACAGTTAATCATATCGGTGTGTGTTTTCCAGTGACTCTCTTTGCAGGCATCTGTTACATACAAGTGCTTATAATTAGCAATAGTAATAATTTAAACATCATTTGGAATGTATATATAATTTTGAGAATAAATTTCTCAGTGAATTACTTGACTTATTATATAATCATTATATACACACAAAACTAGCTTTTGTAGTGATTTTTGGGTATAATTTTTATGATTTAAATATATATCTAATATTTGTATAATACTTATTAAATAAAGTAAATAATTTTGCTAAATTATATCAAAAATTAATACATTAGAATAACATTGCAAATTTTGTATTGTTATATTAAATAAAATCACAAATTTTATTATAATAATAATGATTTTAATTTTTGTTCAAAAAAATATGAAAGGTTTAGAAAAATCTATAATAAGATTATATTATGCTATTTATTAAAATCGTAGATAATATTGTGTGTACATAATTATTGATTAAAGTTATAAAAACTCAATATAATAAATTGATGTATAATTTTATGCGATATTATTCATATATAATGTCTGACCATTTATTGGGAACATTAGTGTTATAGCAATCAAGTCAACGAATTCCTTATTTTTGGAATATTTTTTAATATTAGAGGAATGGAAAAGACATTAATCTATTAATATATAGTATTATTATTATTATTATTATTATTATTATTATTATTATTATTATTATTATTATTATTATTATTATTATTATTATTATTATTATTATTATTATTATTATTATTATTATTATTATTATTATTATTATTATTATTATTATTATTATTATTATTATTATTATTATTATTATTATTATTATTATTATTATTATTATTATTATTATTATTATTATTATTATTATTATTATTATTATTATTATTATTATTATTATTATTATTATTATTATTATTATTATTATTATTATTAAATATAATAATAATAATAATAATAATAGCAAATCAATTCAGACAAAAAACACAAAATACAAGAGCGCCCTATCAATAGAAATGATAATTTTGACCCAATTTACCAGTGCTTTAACATATAAAGAAAGCATGTCATATAAATTTATATATATTTATATATAAAGGGATGAAAATATAAATCGATGTTATATTTTCCGACTATACACTCAATAATAGTTAATACTTTTCCTTTTACACTGCAATAGTAGTTGCGTTTTACTAGTTTTTGGAGGTTTTTAAATTAAATTTGATTTATTACTTGTGCTCATCAAAGAAAATAGGAGAGATAGAGAACAGGGATAACAGAGAATACAGTATATATATTATATATATATATATTGTCTGAATGATAGGCAATAATGTAGAATTGTGTGGTTGTGGTTGTATTAGTGTTTGTGTGGGGAAAGGATAGGCGGGGGGTGTGCTTGTAATGATAATAAGGACATCAGTGTTTTCTGTCTTTTTAAAGTTTTTTATCTGAAAACTAATAATACGACTACCACTGCAAATGTCTTACCGATAATGACTGTAAGTGTGGCTGAATTTTGAGATGTATTTAGATCAGAGTCGACGTGACACGAGTAGGTGCCGTGCATTTCAAGTGTCACATTCAGTATGGAAACGGTGTTCAATAGGTCTTTACTATTGTAGTCAATGTGTCCTTTAAGGACTCCCACAGCGATCGGACGCTTTTTGTTTGGTGTTGAAAAATATACCTAATATATTGATAAATAATATATAAATAATTTATAATAAATAAAATATAATAATAATAATAATATATAATATTTCAAAATAAAATATAATGAATATGATTAGTGTGTATATATATACTGTATATAGTAATAATTATAGCAATTTTAATTACTTCATTATATCAAATTCAAGAGCATATTAATTAGATTTTAACATTAAATCTAATGAATGAATGAATACAGTGTTTACTGTGTTTACAAATATTACTTAAAAACATACAAAATATATGCTTCTCTGCAATAATTTTGAGTATTGCTGGAGAAGCATATGTTAAGTATTAATAAAATTGTAATTACAATATATTAATACAAGTTTTGTACTATTAGTGTATTAATGTATTTAATAAATACTGTACTAATGTACCGTAGAATTACATTATTGTATCAGTAATTAATGAAATTAAGGCTAATATATTGTTTAATGTCAGAAAAATGTTGAAAAATTTTCATTTTATTAATATATATCATATCTATAAGATGAACAATTTTATTAAATACTAGTCATTAAATAATAATCAATCATTAACTATATATATAAAAATCTATAGAAAGATTATATTATATTAAATTATGTATTCTATTATAAAACTATTATTATTTCATGTTAGCACATGATATTAATTTTTATAAAAATGTGTCCAGCAGATTAATAATTTTAATATAGAGTATACATTCAGAGAGAGAGAGAGAGAGAGAGAGAGAGAGAGAGAGAGAGTTGCATGAATGCAATTAATGATCAAATAGAAGCCCAAAAAAAGTTTTAATTAATTAATTGCTTATTCATGTATGACTTGTATCCCAGTGTTGTATCCCTTTTCGCACAATATTTGATAGCAAACATACAAATGATTAATATGTCGAACACTTACTCTCATAGCTCTAAACCCCATAATTAGCAATAATTTGTGCGAAACACTGAGTGAATGAACAAAAAAAATTGCATTTCTTAGGGTTAGACGACAAGCCAATAGCTATGCCTAATAACAACCCAAACCCCATAGATATTGTTATGTAATAGTATTTCATATTATATATAATTTGACTCTTAATTATAGCCAAACATTGTGTGAATGATTCGCTAAATTTTTACGTCTCGTTAATCATTATTGAAGTTTTTGGTAACATATTTGCTATATGTTTGGTATAAATTTATTAATTATTTAATATAATAATTTGATTTATAACATATATATACGGTATATGATTTATATTATCATTGCGAATTATTTATGGTATACTTGATAACAAATAAAAAAATAGTAGTCAGATATTTGTTATGATAAATATTGCTATAATATATATTAGTATATAAATCCATATTGTATTGCGTATATGCTGTTTATATAGTATTTATAATTAAATAAATATTTATAATTTGTAATATTTGAATATTATATTTTTGGAAATTAATTAAATATATCATAGAATATTGATATACTAATTTTTTATTATTAATTAGTAATTTTTTTAATTATCTATATCTATTATCTATAAAGTTATATACTGCTAAAATCATATTTATATAATATTAAACAAGTTTTTTTTTGTAAATACATTATCAAAATTTATGTCACTTTGAATAAAAAATATTAATCTTTTTTAACCTTTATATAAATTTGAATAATATATATGTATAGCATAACAAAACTAAAAATTAGTGAAATAATAAAATGAGAAAACTTTTATAACATTAATACCTAACAAAATGATAACAAAATTGTAATAAAAAAGTGTGCTTTGAATGCAAATAAAATCACATATAAATGTTTAACACTAAAGTAAAAGATATATAAAAACAATGAACCAGTTTTATATATTATATCTATTTTTTAAAACGTTATTATGATATGAATGTACAAATCGTAGAAATTTCATTGTTTCAAAAACTTTTTTATATAATGACAATTTTAGAAATCGTATGCAAAACTATGTATTATATAAATTATATTAAACATAAAAATTCAGACACACATACATTTATATACTTTTTTATATATATACAGTATGTATTACATTGTATATTTTCTAACATTATATGAATATATATATAACTATTTTTGAGCACAAATTACACTAAAATATAGACAATATTTATTTTATAAATTTAAAAAATAAGATTAATGTGTAAATGTATTATATACTATGTTTTTTGCAAGTATTTTGATGTCTAAATTACAATTTATATAAATGTAATGTTTGATATATTATTAACTATTAAACGTATTTCACAATACACTATAATCATAATTAAAAAATATTTATTCTATTTATGACAAATATAATGTTAAAAATAAAAGGCTAATCAAACCTATAGATTAATATCTATGAAATATATGTTACACTACTCTACATAAATATTATATAAATATGTATGTACTGTAGACTCTTATTTCTATAAGTTTAGTAAAAAAAATTAAAATAATAATTACAACTAATGAGAAACATTAATTTCTAATGGCATCTCATATATAATATTATATAACTTATTTAATGGCAAATGTAGTCATACATCCTGTTCCCCCTGTCATGCATAGAGACTACTGTATGAATGCAATGTCTGCATCACATGTTTGATAGGTTTAATATAATCCAATGTATATATATATATATATATATATATATATATATATATATATATATATATATATATATATATATATATATATATAAGTAGTTACGACATAAGGGTGACGGAAGGGGAAAGCACAGTGCTTTCCCCCATATAACAGTATGACGGAGAATAGGTGACGGAGATCACGTGACTCCACCTAACCTAACCTAAGTGTACTACACCAATGACGTCACCACTACCTCTACCTGAACCTTACCTACCCGAACTGACCAATTACCCGAACTGACCAACTACCCGAACCTTACCTACCCGAACTGACCAACTTACCGAACTGACCAATTACCCGAACCTTACCTACCCGAACTGACCAACTTACCGAACTGACCAATTACCCGAACCTAACCCAACCTAAGTGTATATCAATGACGTCACCACTACCTTTAACCGAACCCAACCTAACCTGACCAACTAACCGATCTGACCACCTACCCGATCTGACCAACTTACCGATCTGACCAACTTACCATACTGGTCAACCTTCCGATGTATTAGCGGAGAGGGGATAGCGGAAATCATATGACCTAACATGAGTGTAGATGTAAACAAAATAAATATAAATACATTTATTTTTAAAATAATATTTATAATTTATTTGCATTTTATTTATTTACAAAAGCGTTCATTAAATATTTTCTCTCTAAAATTTTTATCTAATACATATGATATATTTTCTTCAATTAGTTTACACTTATATTCATGAATACGTCTGTTAAAAACTATCCAATGCCAGTTAGATATACGAGCCTGTCTTGAAGCATATGACCAAACATACATAGTCTTTATCTGTATTTTGTCATCAAATCTAACTTTCTTCATATTTATTTGTTTATTAAGTAATCAAAGTATTTAAACATAAACTCTTCATATAATTCATTCAATGCTTTTCTAGTATAAACACCAGTCAATATCATTTTCCCTTTTCTAGTGAGAGTTATATGTCTTTTATTACCACAATTGATCCTCAAATGTGGAAATATTTCCAACTCATAATTACTGCTCCAATTAAATTGATTCATCAGTTTCTCTACATTCAAGTCGTTTTTCAGGTTATGTGACGCAGCAATGTTAGTCACACGTAAGTTATGTAATTTGATATCATATCCGAGTTTTTGTATTATGCGAGCAGTCTTTCGTAATGCTATTCGACCATCATTTTTTGATTTTGCACCCACACATACTAGTTTACCAGAGTCGTATATCATAACCGTGGCATTAGGGTTACGATACCGTTTAATTACTCTCACAAATGGGTAATTGTGATATACACAATTACAACAGTTGTTACACAATTTTCTTAAATCAATAAAACCAATCATATCAAAGAGATCAGCAGTCATCGAAACATTAGTTATCACAGGCATATTGATAATGCAAATTGTATTACTATAATAAATGTTGATGTAGTTATAAACTCATAAACTATTGCATCAACTATTACAAAAACAGTTGAAACAAGTTGTTTAACAACTATTGCTTCAATTATTGCAACATCTGTTGCAATAAGTAGTTTAACTACTATTGCAACAACAAATAGTGTATTACACTATCGTAAATCCTGTTTACTCTATAAAATATTAACTTATAAAAGCAAAGTGTATACACTATTATTGTATTAGTGTTTATTAGTTTTGTTATAACTGATTATTATTGTAAATTAAATTTTTCATCATCAAAATGGTTGGCAAAACATTGTTTCAAAAATCCATTTTCACCAAATCTGATGGTGAAAACAAATTTGACAAATTTGTTCGTGTATTGGAACACGAAAACGGTGAAAAATTTGTGGACATCCGACTGACTGTTTGCAATGATGGAGAAGATGTCTTCTACACCAAACATGGCGTTTATTTATATGGTAATGAATTCAAAGAATTGTTGAAAAAGATGGAAACCCAAGACTTTGGTTCTTTTGGAGATCTTCGAGTTATCTCATTCATGCATTTGAAAAAACAATTGTATTGTTTTAGTATCATTAGTAATGGTAACATTAAAAAATTAAATGTCATATTCCCTGAAATTGACATTATATTGTCATTGAAAGATGAAATCATTAAATATCTTAATTAAAGTAATTATTGTATATTATAAAACAAATATTGTAATAAATAAACAAAACAAATTAATTGAATAAAATAAATTTTATTAATAAATAAAAAATGTATAATTATTTACATTTTAATATGAAAACAAATAGTAATTTTTAATCCATTTCCACAATAGCTCACATTTGTGTTGAGCGCATCTCATATCTGATTTATCGGGTATGATACGTTCATGAAAATGACATGAACGGCCTCCATACATTCTCTTTAATGTCTTAAGACTAGGA